TCCAGTTTAAGTTGACTATTTACATTGATGTGTTGGTTTTCAGGAGATTGCTTAGATGTGAGCCTTCTTTCTCCACCATCAAAGCTACATACTTTCCCCCTCAAAATAATATATACCAAAAAAGAAGGTGATTATTTATAAATTATCTCTATCATCTATCCCTAAAGCCAATATTTGTGCTGAAAAGGATGAATTCATGCTGAAAAGGATGAATTCATGCTTAAATACTCATGGAAAGCTAAAATAATTATTTCCAATTCCTTTGAAATGTTAGTTAATACCTTAGTGATTGAATGACCTCCATAATAAATCAAAATTTTCAGACCTACTCCTTACATGCAGTGAGAAAATGTTCTTTAAAAGTAAAATCAGATTAACTAGCTGAACATTTAACACAATAACATGGTTAATTAACTGACCACACACTGCTTAATTAGGTTTTCAGAAAGCACTGGCATTAAAAATAAAAATATGGGGCCCTCCCTGGTGGCGCAGCGGGTTAAAGCACTGCACTGAGAAGCTAAAGCCACTTCCACATGGGTTCAATTCTCATCTGCCCCAGAGGTGACCACATGGCGTGGCAGACCTCTCCTGCCCCGCCCGCCCACTGCTCCCCTCAGCAGTGTACTTCGTAGATCTGCCTGTTCTGCTCCCCACTCTGTCTCTAATGAAGCCTCTCACCACCCCTGAGCCTCTGGCCTGTACCCCAGTTCTGTATGTACAAATAAAATAAACCTTAAAAAAAATAAAAATATGGTTAACGTGCCAGAAGAGTTGGAATATATGAACAAAGAACTATTAAAATCAGTTTCAATATGGTTTTTAAAGTAAAATTTCTGACATTTAGGAATACTTTGGTAGCAATTAATACCCAGTCCTGATGGATACATGTCACAGAGGAAACTGGAGAAAATGATCTTCAAAAATTCCTCTAGCTCCATTTTTCATTTAATTGTTTTTCTTATAAAATAATTTGTTTTAACATTTCTGCAGTCAAAAGAATATTTACAAAAGTTTTCAACTTAAATACTTTTCACCATAGTTTAACTAGTGTAATTATCCATATATATATATATATAATTACCGTATCATAAAACTGTTTTTGTGAAGTGTTTTTGCTTAAGTCAAAGGAGGTAGGGAACAGGGGCTGGGGAAGGGAAGCAGAGGAGGTAATGGCAAAGGTGGTTTGGTGGAAGGCATGTGAGATATATGCACATATGGAAGAGCAAAAATCTAACCCCCAAATAAATTTTTTAATTAAAAAATAATTATCCATATGTAAATTCAAAGCGTACTTTAGAATTGGAATTTATGCTTCCAAAGTTATCTTATTTTCAAGAACACTTTGTGGTTATCTTATTTTCAAGAACACTTTTACTCACCACTAATCTGATCAAGTCTTAAAATTAGGCTCATGCTTTATTGGCATTTATGGTCATTATAAGTTTGAGTTACTGACCAAAGACATTGCACATTTCCTCAGCCCTCCCCTCTGTACCTTTGCTGACTCCCCAGTGGTGCCTATAGAAACCTTTGCCACCTGGGGGGAACTTTGGTCATTTAGGCCAGAGTGCCAGAATTCGGAAGGTGTCCTATGATCACCATGTTGCTGTGCTCATATTGTTTGGGTAGCATTCACCGTTGGTCATGGATGTCTACCATTAGTGTTCCAGGGCTATTAGCTGCACCACCTAAGAATTCACATGGTTCAAGTTTATGGATTAATACTAGAGGCAAGTCTAACTTCTTATTTTCAGCAGTTAAGTTTTCTTCTGGTTCATTTAACAAAGTGGCCCCCCCACCACCAGCTGCACATGAGCTTTTAAAAAATAGTAATATACCCCACTGCAAACAGTCTGTTGAATTTTTTTTAAAGTTCTGCTCCCAGCTCAGATGATTCTAAACTCAATGGGTTTAGTCCTTTCAGTCTGTGAGTGACTTTATTTTGGCCCATGGCAACACCTTTCCTAGGCTGCACTTGACAGAGCTGTAGTTCTTCAGAATCTGAGGCTGGTGTCTGTGTCACCACAGGTGTGCCCTCTAACTGCGAGAATCTTACTAACTTCACACAACTATTAGGTGCTTTTCCAAAGCAGCCAGTATTTCAACACAATATAAAAATATATATATATTTTCTGGAAATAAAGGTGACAGATTCCCTTTGATTTTAATGCTTAACAACTAGTTTAACATTTTATGTTGTTTAGCACTGAAAGAGACACCACAGAATAAAATGGCCAGGCAACTTATGTTCCAATGAAGGAGACAAAAGTGGGGAAAACACACACACACACACACACACACACACACACACAAGGAAGAGTATATATTGGTCCAGATACTAAGTGCTCCCGGACAAAGAAGGAAAAAGTTCTTTTTGGAATGGTATCATAGCTGTTATGAAAACAGAATTGGGGCAAGCCTTGAAAACAGTATGGATGGGATTCAACTTTTAAAGGGTACTGACATTCCAGGTCTCTAGAATAGTCCAGTAAAGAATGACACAGAAATGGGGGTGATTAAGTCTTTAGACAATTCTGGATTATTTAAGATGAAATTGTCCACACTGAAAAGGAAGGGCCCTCATATGTCTTGAAGCACTGAAACTTGATTGGAGAAGCTTTGAATGTCCTACTTTATAAAACTAACCTTCAGTGAGGAGTGGTTGCCCCCAGTTGGGGAGATAATCTTGAAGGGGGCAGACTGGAGGAAAGAGGTTGTTAGAAATATTTTATATCTTAGTTAGGAAAGTAGTTACAAACTTCATCAACCTCTGCATTTAAAATTATATATAAAGTATACCTCAGTTTAAAAATCTCTAAAAACTGTTAAAGAGCCTACAAATTAAATCAGTGAAAATATATGACTGGGGTTCTGCTTCAAACACTATATAATTGTTAAGAGACCACTGGAGAAATTTTAATACTGACCCAAACATGTGATTACCTTAAGAAATAATTACACTTTTTTTTAGTTTAATATTATAATTTTAAGAGTTCTTCATTTTATAATACATACTGAAATATTTATGGATGACAGTAATAGGACCTCTGCCTTTGCTTCAAAATAATTTAGTATAAGTAGATGGATGAAACCAGTATTATTGTCCCTTTTTGTATATATTTAAGGTATCAATAGTAAAAACTGTTAATGCATTTGTTCTTTAATAGGAAAATGCCTAGTAAAAGTGTTTCTCTAGAAAGTGTTTGACTCGGAAAAATGTTTCTCAGACTAATTACTGAGGCTTTTAGAGTAATTGTGGATGGAGTTAGAGAAGGAATGAAGAATACAGTATTTTGTTTACTTTGTTGAAAGTAAGTCAGAGGCACTTTAGATGTTTTGTATTTGCTATTAAGGAGACACATCAGAACATGGGATTAATAAATATTATTTGGAGAACTGAATCAGCATTATCTCTGTGTGTTAAGGAAGGAGGTAGACTTATGAACGTATCACCTGAGGAGTTTCCAAGGCCCATCAAACTAAAGGTGTGAGCTTAGTGAACAGAGGTCCACAGAATTAGGAAATGTAGACTCTAATCCTGCTCTGTGGCCTCAGCCAATTTATTGAATCTCCCTACCCTTCAGAATTCTTAGCTGGAATATATGAGAATTAAAATTTAAATGCTGTGTAAAGTCTCATTTAGGAAATTTTGCCTCCCTACACCCCTTTTTATTAGAGTGTCATTGTTTCAAACTGGTAGTTTCCAAACTGGGCCACTGCATCAAAGTCTCTTTTGACTGAATCAGTGGGGGTGGTTAGAAATGTCTCTCTATCAGACCCACAGAATGATTTTCTGGGCAAGGTTCTGAGAATCTACATTTTTACAAATATCCCAGATGGATTCTTATAATCAATGGAATTTGAAGAGTTTTAGAATGGATCATAGTTCTTTTTCTTCAGATTGCTCAAAATGCATTCAATACTTAGTTATTTTCTTCTAAGGATATAAGGGATTTCAAAATTTTAAAGGAGAGAAAATTGTAGTCAGATTCATATCACATGACATTGTGGATAGATTTACATTTTTTCAAATTAGCAACTTAAGTTTACAAGAGATAATTTAGGAAATAGAGACACAAAGAAGAAAAAATACAGTAACCCATAATTTTGTAGCCTTAGGAAAGCAGTATTGAATGGATTGTTGTATATCCTTACAGGCAACATGTATACATATAAACGTTAACGATTTACCAAAATAGGTTTGTTTTCTTTATACTCTTTATAGCCTTTGAAACCCATACATTATTTTCATATTTCTATATTATGTCCACCAACATCAACATCTTTAAGGGCCATATAGAAGTCTGTTGTATAAATATACCAGAGCCTCCTTCCTCTGTTTCTTTCTGACACATGCTATCTGCCTTTTAAAATTTATTTACTATTTTGCATATGGATCATGTCCCTGCTCTCTAAACTGGCAGTTGTTGCATCTGCAAGGAAGCAGATCCCAGACCAAGAAGGACCACAGGTATACTGGAAAGTGAAGTGAAGTAAGATAATTGGTGCCAGGCTGCAGGTGTCTGTAGCACCTGCTATGTGTGTGACCTACTTTCCTGAGCATAGGAAGCTCTTTAGATTTTCTCGAATTTTGTTTTTGCTAGAGTAAAAACAGGATTCGAGTAGAGTGGGAGTATGACTCTGCAGGAAGGTGTGAGGGAGAGGGGAGATGATGAAGTGAGAGGAACAATCTGGAGGCAGCACCAGCGGCCAGAGACGAGGTGAGGTGGCAGCAGCCTGAACAGAGAACAGAGGCACTGTGGTGTTAGAATGATGAGACCTGGCAGATCCCATGTGGTAATAAAGCGAAAGACAAATAGTCAAAGAAAGCTGGGGGTTTCAATTTGGGGCACATAGGTAGTAGTACCATTTACGCAAAAGAAAACATGGGAGCAAAACACTTGAGAAAATGATGAGTTGTGAGAATCTTAAAAAACAAATTTTAGCCCCTTTTATCCTAGCATCACACACTTCTCCACCCATCTTCTTTCTGACAGGCAGTAATATGGACTGTACTTGTACGTGTGGAGGCCTTCAGTCTGGAAGACCAGCAAGTGCCCAGACATCCCAGCATGCACCAGAGCTGGGGACCATAGAAGGGAGGCCCGTCTGCAGCCAGGATTCCCTCCCATCTCAGGAAAGCACGTTGAGCCCTGTGAACCTGACTGATGACCAGATAGCCTCTGGCCTCTATGGTAACTTTCCTCACTCACAGCCCTTAGCAGCAGGATTCTAGGAACAGCACTGAAACATTTCAGTGCAAGGCTTGTATGCCTCCTGCACTGACCTGAAAGAACATTTCTGTCATTAGGTGGTAGGCCTAGAATACATTGAATTAAGATTACTAAAGAGAGGTCCCTCCCTGGTGGCACAGGGGTTAAAGCACAGTACTGTGAAACTTTCCAAAGCTACTGCAGCACGAGTTCGATTCCCAGCTAGGGAGCTGACCCACATGGTGTGGCAGACTTCTCCTGACCCACCTACTGTTCCTCTCAGCAGTGTGCTTCAGTACATCTGCTTGTTCTGCTCCCTACTCTGTCTCTGGTAAATCCTCTCACCTCCCCACACCTCTGGCCTGTACCCCAGTTCTGTGTGCATAAATAAATAAATCTTTAAAAAAAAAAATAAAGATTACTAAAGAGAGCTGTGCAGTGCCCTGAAGAAAATGTATCTGATGTTGTGGATTTTGAAATATTTTAAATAGCATTCCACGCCTTCACAGTCTGGAAAACAAATTTTTTCCAGGTTATCTCAGCCGAAGAAAAAGAGTAATAACAATCCCTATCTTAGTGTCTAACTGGCTTTTGAGGATCAAATAAGACATGACATCATTTCATAAACAATAAAGCCTGACACAAATGCTAGTTGTCACTGCTTTTGTTTTGTCTGGAAGAACAGATGGATTTTTGTCCCATTTAAAGAATTTTGTGTATATTTCTTACATATAAACATTTAATTTTACATGAATGAAGGAAGAAAACACAACATTGTACATGAAGATTACCTATTCATTTAATTTATGTAAATTTTAATCCCCTTGATTCACTTTTCCACAGTATGTACAAATAATGAAAGTACACTGAAGTCCATCATGAAGAAGAAAGATGGTAACAAAGATTCAAATGGAACAAAAAAGAACCTTCAGTTTGTTGGCATTAATGGCGGGTAAGGAAAAATGGTGCTCGTGTTTTTACATGTTCTGTCTCTTGCCTCCCGCCTACTTAAGTCCTATTTAAAGGTGCCTACTCTAGGATGCTGCCTCCTCTTGGTGACGGAAGATTCCCTCCTCAGGTGCATTTGGGCTTCTCCTCTATCCTCTTCTTGCTGTCTCTAAGGATATGTCACTCTTTGAAGGATACCTGATGAAGCTGAGCGATTTACATCTTCTCACCTCTGCTGAAAAAAAAAATGATAGTCTTCGACAAAAGCTGTGGGCAGCAGGTTCCCTGCACTGTTGGACAACTTGTACTTACCTATGTTAGAATTCAAAAGCAAGCAGAAAAAGATGGAGCACATCACTCCAGAGGCCAGTGATAGTGATCCACACCTCCAAAATGGGTTGCTTTGCTTAGCTCTCCATGTTCACAATACATGGTTAGGCCTTTCACCAGAAACATAACCTAGCCATGCCATCAGTTCTGTACTTTCTAAACAGACTATAAGCTTGTTGTTTATGCCCTCTCTTCCAGTTGACCCTAGTAAATATGAATCAAAATGATTAATTGATCGTTAATGAACATATGGCCTGAAGAAGAAAACAATTGTACAGAATTAGTTGAAATATTTATATAGTGAAGTATTCCATTTGAAAAATGCTTGTTTTCCAAAGCTTTATAACTGTATTAGATGACGTGGCCCTGGAGTTCTTAGAGGACTTGTAACCAAATGACTACTGGCTAGTTAAATAATTTGGTTACCTTGATACGCAGAGAATTAATGGGACGAAATAGGAAGAATAAAAGAAAAAAGGAACCGTTGCAGACCTCATTTCCATAAATTCCATTACCTCTTGATTTATGCTAAGTAGTGTATGATACCAGTTGGCAACTGAGGTCAGAATCCACTGAGAACTACCAGACATTTGAATAGTCCTTACTTTGAACATCCATGTTCAGAGTGTACAACCATTGGTGAAGTTTCTGAAGTCAGCAGCCTTCCCTTTGTAGAAATTTCTATCACTGGGTCTTTATGGGCACACCTTGCATCTCCTGAAATCCCAATTGCCACCTAGGTATGAAACTACTTCAAGTGATGATTCCAGCTCAGATGAAAGTTCTTCTTCCGAGTCAGATGACGAATGTGATGTCACTGAGTATCCTCCTGAGGAAGAGGAGGAGGAAGAGGAGGATGAAGAAATGGCAGAAGGGCACCATGCAATTAATATTGAAAGTTTCAAGTCCTCCCAGGTGGAAGATGAAATGCAGGTTCAAGAATGTGAACCTGAGAAGGTGGAAATCAGAGAGAGGTGTGGTACATTCCCCTTTCCTCCCTTAACCCCTCCTGCATTTAATGTACTTTGGCAGTAGAATCTCCGTTTAGGGCATTTTGCAATTTTGTCTAATTGTTTGGTCTCTCCAATCACCAAAGGACAACATAACATTATCTGTTCCTCTGAGGTAGGTGCATCTTGTGATACTAATAAATACCAGAACAGAAGGTGATAGTTCCTTTATCTGTTAGGACAGCAAAGAGAATGTTTTGATATCTCATCATTTTGTTTTTGTTAAATATCTGTTACCTAGTTTTATATGTGGAGACACCATTCATAGAACTGTTAAGCACCACTGAAGATACCATTATTTGAACATAACACCTCACATTAAAAATTTTTGTGACTAGGACATTTTCTTCTAAAGTTCCAGATTTCATCATTAGCCAATTATTTCAAGAGAAACATTGTATGTGAGTGGAACCATTTTTTTACTTCAAAGATCACATTTACTATAAAAATGACGTAATCATTACATGTCTAAATTCTGTTACTCTTTGAGCAGTTGAAATTATTATAAATAGTGGATTATAAATAGTGGCTGAAATAAAAATCAAACACTATGGCTGGCTTGAAAAAGTAACTAAAAACAGTGATTTTAAAGACTGTATACTAGTAAATATGGAATCAGTGCTTAGCAAACAGTAGAATAGATAAAAAATTCATTATGCTTTCTTACAATGTAAAGTATAAGTAATAATATTTCAGAAAACTTACCTCTTTAATTTTGTAAATGAAAATTTAACTGTATTAATACAAGGTGTTTTTAGTTTATATCTCCACATATTTTCAAATGATTCACTGTCTTGTCATTGTTTTTCAACAGCTTTATTGCCATATATTTTCCATAAGTCTTCTGATTTTTAAATTTATATTTCCTCGTGGGTTAAACAACCACTTCAGAGCCACCAGATTCAAGTTCAGATATGTGGTTAACTGGTCAGCACAATGGATATGTGATCATTCCAGTTTCTTCAACCCTGTGAAAGTAAACTGTTATTAAGAACTTAGAACAGAACCTGTGAAAAATCTCCAAATGTTATTCCATATCATAAAGGCCAAAGCCCAGTGAAAGACCTTGAGTTCTTTTTGTATGACACTTTGGTCCTCCGACCCAGGGACACCTGGTCACCATGGAGCACTTTACAACAGCCTTGGCCAGCTTGGGGCATCTTGACTTAAATGATCACAGAGTTTGAGATAAAAAATACCTTCCCTTTTCTAATCAATCATTAATTCTTTTATCTTTTACCCTTTTAGGTATGAATTAAGTGAGAAGATGCTATCTGCATGCAACTTACTAAAAAATAACATAAATGACCCCAAAGCTTTGACCAGCAAAGATATGGTGAGTCTGACCTACAGACATTCTCCCCATCTTTACAAAGTCCCCAGTGGTCACCATTCAACTATGTGCCATGAGCTGTTGTTGCCTGCGTGTTCTGTCCCGCCCCACCCCCAAAACTATTCCTAGCATGTGTGGGCCTTGTGAGCATCGTGCCACTGCTCCCCAGATCACACTGAACAAACATTTCCCTCTGACCCAACTTCAGATGTTCTTGCCCCACCCTGTACTTTTCTCGGTGCTGGAGCATCTGTGAGGCATCGATTTGCAGAACGGGAGATTAATTGCAGTCATTCTTTCAACATGTTCTACTTCTGCTCACAAAGCCTTGTGATCCAGGGAGCAGAATTCCAACTTTTTTTTTTTAAATTAACATATGTTTTTAAAGGAAAGCTATCTGGGCTGAGGTTGGCATTCCTGTCAGTTATGAAACTGCATGTTTTGTTCTCATGTGGAGTGCAGGCAGCCACTATTTTTAAACATAGAAATAGCTGCACTTGTCATCTTCTTGCAGTTTGGGAGCTTCAGAAACAAACAACATAGAAGTGGATGTGGGCCTTAGCCTGACTGGCACAACGTAGAACAGGTAGATAGTTCTCTGGCAGTTTTACATCTGATGCCATGGCCTAGATGACATCATACATTAAAGTTTTGATGAGCAACTCCTTGCACAAGTCAGACTTCTTTCACTGGACTAGCTTTAGCTTAAGTGAGGTGAGAGAATGCAGCTTCTCAAATTCCTTTTTTAAAAAAAGATTTATCTATGCATACAAGAGCTGGGATACAGGCCAGAGATGCAGGGGGTGAGAGGAGTCACCAGAGACAGATGGGGAACAGAATAGATCTACTGAAATACACTGCTGAGAGGAGCAGCAGGAGAGACAGGTGAAGTCTGATGTGACCTGTGGATCAACTTCCTAGCTGGAGGTAGAATTTGTGCTTCAGGGGCTGGAGAGAGCTTCATAGTGGTGCACTGTAACCCCTTGAGCCACCAGGGAGGTCCCTTCATATTCATTTAGATATGAATGTGCTTTTGAATTTTTGCATGTTAGTAGTAGATTTAAATTGCATTTTATGCTAAATAAGTTGGCAGCTGGTGAGAAAATTGATGGCAAAGGCTCACACAGTTAGAGTTATAAAATTAAAATATTAGGTTTAAAGGGATAGGAGAAATTATCTAAGCCTGGAAAGACAAATAGTCTTCCTCTTACACAACAAATACAAACTGCTGCACAGGGGGAAGCAGCCTTCATGCTGTGCCTGCACATGTCTACTGTACCACTCTGTTCTGGCTGTTTCTTTACCTCAGGACCTTAAAGACGACTGGTCTTTTTAGAGTGGCATATTAGTGCTGTGGCTAAGCTATACCTTTCTTGAGTACACATTTTACTTATCCTATCTAAAATGTATTCCCTTATTACATGGTTACATGGCATCTTTTTTTGAATCATGAAAAGCTTTCATATTTGTTTATGTTACTATGGAAACTAAAATTCATCAGATCCAACTGAGTCTTGACATTCAGTTAGTGTGCAGAAAAGGGAGTGTGGCAGTTAATGTTTACAGAAGGAAATGCTAAATAAAGTACATGGCCAGGGAGGGACATAGAACTACATGTTTTTCTCCATCACTCTAAAAGTATATGCCTATCTGTACCTTGGTCAATAGTAAAACCATAAAATGTCACTGAAATTTTAATATTTCCCACTAGGCTTAACCTAAACTTAAAACAGATGCTTTAGGGCCCCAGATCTTATAGTCAGTATTACACTTTTATTCTCAAAATAGTAGGCTCTGTGGTGGTCTCCAGGGAGGGCTTTAGATTTCTGCAGCCCCAAATGTGTGTTCAGACACATCTTTCATAATTAGTGTGTGTTTTGTTAAGTGAATTCAGTGAAGTCGTATTGAAGTCATAGTGCTGTGACAGGTAGTAGAAATGTCAGTGATCACAGTATCAGTGTGAGTGGATGTTTTTAGCAGTGACAAAGTGAGGGCACCCAGGTAACATAATGTCCCTTCTTTCTTGTGAAATAGAAATAGAATTGTGAAAGTGTAAAAGAGTGAGTAGAAAAAAGAAAAAAAAAATTAGATGAACTCTTTCCTGATCAGGACTGTTCTCATCAAGGCTAAACCTGAGTCATCACTACAGAATCGTCACTACATAAAAGACAAACACTTTGCTGTTCTACCTCTACCTTGTGTTTAGAAAGAGGGCTTCTTGTCCTCTTCTTGAGGCTTTTGACATAAGCAGTCCATCTTTCTTTGATATTTTTTTAACTTCTTAACAAAGCACAAATGAATGGTAAGCACACAGAAGAGGGCCAAAGTATTGTATCTGTCCCCATCACTACCACTGACTCTGCCTGGTCCATGTTGAACATCATGTGGTCCAAGAACAACTTGATCGGCCACAACACTCATGCCATATTCATGTATCCACGGCCTTAGGTCAGGCAAGTGGGACTGATAATTAGATGCAAATGATCCCAATGAGGATTATAATCTGGTCCAGATCTACTCTTTCTTCCCCTTTCATAGCTGAATATTTGTTTCTGCGATTGAAGTGGCTGCATACTTGGGATTTCCCTGTACTGTGGAGATGTTGAAGAAGTTGAGGTTAGTCCAGATAGGAAACAAACAGCATAATTAAGTATGGGCTAAGTAATTTTTCCTGTAGTGATTACTATGGAAGTTATTTGCAAGACTAGCAAAATTATCTAATATTAATAATTCAATAATGAATGAAGACAGACCTTAGTGTTTTACATGTATTGCCCCATTTACTCAGTAAAAACACTGAAGGACAGAGTTTTTTTTTTTAATTCTCATTTTGCACATGAGGAAACCAAATCTGAGCATCTTCCTTAATAAATAGTAGAGCCAGAATCTGATCCTCTGTGGCATGGCTCTTACTCAGTTCTCTGTGGCCTCTTGTATAGAAGTTAGAGTATGTATATGGCTGTCCCAGTTTGGAATTTGAGGCTTCTCTTAGGGCTCTGGGTTTCTTTCGTTGTTTTTGAGGGCAAATTCTAACTGCATATACTTTGACTATAAAAGGCCTGGTTATCTTGGGTTTCCAGATAGGTCTTAGGAAGGTCTATAAATAGAAGAACTAATGGCTGTTCCCTCTGTGTTTGGCAGAGGTTCTGTCTGAACACCCTCCAGCATGAGTGGTTCCGCGTGTCGAGTCAGAAGTCAGCTGTGCCAGCCATGGTGGGGGATTACATTGCTGCTTTTGAGGCCATCTCTCCAGACGTGCTCCGTCACATCATCAACATGGCTGATGGCAACGGCAACACGGCCCTTCATTACAGCGTGTCCCATTCCAACTTTGAGATTGTGAAGCTGCTCTTGGATGCTGGTACATTGACTCTCTGGTCTCTTCTCTCACTTGGGTGTGAATCATCTTAGAGAAGCTGACTGATCAGTGCCTCAATTCTGTGACCCTCCTAAAATCCTTTCATTGCTTTTCAACATGAAGTGGCAAGAAAATCATTCTTGAGTCATTCATGAGAGGCTTGCCATTTAAACAAAACTGGGTGACACAGATCCCAGATCTGTTTTGAAAGGAGATTTAAAAGATATTTTTTCTACAGTTCAGCTGCATTCAAGTGAGGTGTATCCCTAGTAATAAACATGACTCATGTTCCTCTGTTAAGCTGAGTCACACAGGCTTGGCAGGTTCATGGTCAGGAGACTAACGCTGCTTTTGGGGTCACAGTCACAGCTTTGGTGTTTGTGGGCTGCTTCACTTGTTCTTGCTCCATGACCCCCATCTAACTGTCCTGCAAAAGCGTACAGTTAGTCAAGAAGGAGATTAAGCAAAATCCCCACCACTTCAGCCAAAATGCACTCTGTATTTTGAAAAAATAGCATAGAGTACAGAAAGTGGTAGTCTTATATCTAGAGTGCTGTAATGAGAATCCTGAAAATCCTTGTTTATTGCCATCCCTGTTCTTGCCATCCCAGAATATAATCAATACATTTATTAAACATGTAGTGAGAGAGTGGGAAGATGCCTGTTGAGAAATAATAAACTTTCAACTGTTTGTTCAAATGGAGCAGTCTAGTAGAACATATCATCTCCAAATCACTTCTTTTTTTTTTTTAATAGAAACTTTTACTTGTAGTATGTGATTGATAAAATTCACAGGACACATCTCATTAAGGCGAGTACATGCAATGTGAAAATCTGACTAAAAACATGCAATCTGGTTTTCCCAAGCTGCTTCTTGACCTAACTGGCTGTTACTTTCTATTGATCAGGGATATGTGATTAATGCAGACAGGCAACCAAGCAGATTTAACTTTTTTTCGTATCTAAGTTTGCTTGGCCCCAGGGGACATGTTAGGATAAAACTGCTTCTATCTTATAGGAAGGAATTATAAGCTACTTTCCCTTCAGAATTTCCAGACTATAAATAGAACTGGTGATATTGTCAGCCCAAGTTATTGTTTAAACAAAAATGTGGATAATATCCAGGACACTTAAAAATGAGATTTCAGGATTATTCATAAAATAACAATTTACCATTTAAAATTCTTTATTGGAAAGATAATAATGGTAAATTTAATGATTTTAATTGCATTGTTTAGTTAGCTTTCGTTAATAACTTCCCTGGATTAACTTAGCTTTTTACTGCTCTTGAGATGGTGACTCCATAAAATGTTTGTGAATCTTTAATGCTTTGGACGGCACAGATACACAGGAGCTTCACTGAGCATATCTGCGCACGCCCTTCACCACACAGACTTTTCTTTTCTTTGTCCTTTTCTACATTAGAAACTATGGCTGTTTAGATGCCATAATGTCCCTAGTATGCTGCTGTTTTAGATCCCAAGGAAAGTTTTTCTGGTACTTCCACTTCTCACTGCTTATGATAGAAACATCCTAAACATATTAAGTATATTTGCTCACATATAAAAGCTGCTTTCCAGCACTCTCCATTCCTTTCATTTTAATAGAAAGTGCTGAAGGAATTTAAAGCTGTCTAGAGGATGTTAGCTCCTTGAAGGCTCCTTAAGAATTACAAGATGGGGGCCCTCCGTGGCAGCGCAGCTGATTAAGAAGCAGCACTGCAAGCTGGCGGAAGCCACCTCAGTGCACATTCACTTCCCGAGGCCTCAGAGCTAACTCACATGGCGCAGCAGACTTCTTCTCCTGACCTGCCCGCTGCTCCCCTCAGCAGTGTACTTCGCAGATCTGCCTGCTCTGCTCTCTACCCCTGCACCTCTGACTTGCGACCCAGTTCTGTATGAATAAATAATAAATCTTTAAAAAAAAAAATTACAGAACTAGAAAAAGTCCAGTCTGTTGGGTTTATTAGTACCCTCAGTTTATTTGAGAACTTGCTGCATTTGCTATCATGTCATGGACCCTAGAATTAGGTATTCTGTGATTGGAATATTCTGTGATTGTACTCTGAGGGTCCCAAACAAGTCAGAGCAATAAACTCAGGGTCTAAGAATAAGCCACAGTTGTAAGTGGGCTGCTCCATTCAGTGTTCCTTACACAGACCTTTACAAATCCTCTTTTCATTTGTAGCTCTCACTGTCTTCTTTACTCTAAAATAGTGATTTCGTAAACACCACTTAATGTCTAGATCCCACATTATCATTTATTCTTCAAAACAACCATTACTTAGAACAACCTCACAGACCTCCAGGCTACTGCAGTCCAACTACCAGTTGCAAACAGGACATGCTATGGAAGTTCACTATTGCTCCTGGCTTCTTAAAAGAGAAAAAAAATTATTTGGGATGAAAACATCTTCACCTGTCCTTCCGAGTCACTCTGGGTCTTAGACCACTGGAGGCCGTTCCTTTGGGCTCTTCCAAACCAAATGCTGTGCCTTCAGTCCATCACTCACGAGCACATCTGCCGCTCTCAGGAGATGACTCCCCACTAAGAGACCCATGTTTTTGCAGATGTGTGTAACGTAGATCACCAGAACAAGGCAGGGTATACCCCCATCATGCTGGCTGCCCTGGCTGCTGTGGAAGCAGAGAAGGACATGCGGGTTGTAGAGGAACTCTTCGGCTGTGGGGATGTGAACGCCAAAGCCAGCCAGGTGAGTGTGCTGCTTCCCGGGCTTCTGGTCACTAACAGAGCTCTGACCACACAGGTAGGTACCACTGCCACATGTGTGTGTGTGACCTGTGTGTGTCCACCTACTTGTCCCCACCCCATGATGGGTGACCACCGCTCCTTGACTGTCCCTAGATAATAGTGTCTTTATGCCAGGCCCAGAGTGCCCTAGTCCACAGTGTTCACAGTGTGACTTCCAGCCTTCTGAGCTTTCCAGCTCCTGGCAGATCCTGCAAGCTAAGGAAAAAATTGACCCATTACTCTGTGATCTCACTTAGCTCACAAGATGCTAGTTTTTCCATGTTTGCCGCCACCTAGCCCTAGGTCCTTCCCGTCACTAGATACCCTGTACTCCTTCCTTCATCCTGCCAGCCCAGTGTTCTTCTGAAGTCCACTGTCATTTCTTCATGCAGGCAGGACAGACAGCCCTCATGCTGGCAGTCAGTCATGGACGCATAGATATGGTGAAGGGCCTGCTGGCCTGTGGGGCTGATGTCAACATCCAGGATGATGAGGGCTCCACTGCCCTGATGTGTGCCAGCGAGCACGGGCACGTGGAGATCGTCAAGCTGCTACTGGCCCAGCCAGGCTGCAACGGCCACCTGGAGGACAATGTAAGCACTCTCCTTGGGGCTCCTTGACCAACTCTGCTGGGACACAGGGGGAGCCCTGTGGGTGCTGCCTGCCTAGGGCGAGAGAACAGCCCTTCTTGACTCTCCTTGGGAATTTGTATTGCTAACTAGGCCACCTCCCTCGTGGACCTACTTAGTAGCGTTTGCTGTGTACAGTTACAGTTACTCCCCTTAACTAGAGCCAAAGGCAGAAAAATAGATACCACTCAAAAATTCATTAAAGGAAGAAAGTGATAGATGAATATGAAAAGCAGAATTTAAAAAGGAATGAATAGATATATAATTTAGAATTAGATTCAGTGTAGTCAGTTTCTGATAAGTCCATCAAAAAGAGACAATGACAGTCCAATCCACTGGGCTCCCCCAGTGTTTTCTACCAGGGTGACTAAAACCAATTGTTATTACAGTGAAGCATTTCAAATGAAATGAGGACAGTGGTGCCTTTCACAAGGGTCCCTCACAATGAGTTACTTGTAATGTTTCAGCAGCTGGGGGACCCAGACTATCTAGGTTTCTGGAAGCACATCTTCTCACTCCTGCTGGGGTGTTCTCACTGCTGTCATTCTCTGATCCTCTCCCATTTCCCAAGTTGGCCCCATCCTATGCTAACCCCCTGGCTGGGAAGCATTCTAAGGAAAGCTGCTTCTGGAAGTCTGCTGGCCCAAGGGAAGGAATGCAGATTGGCAAGGGATGGGGGGAGGCTTGGGTGATGACTGTGCCAAAGGTCATAGAGGGTGGAGTGGTTGTCTTTTTGAAAGTTTTTTTTGTTGTTGTTTGTTTGTTTGTTTGTTTTTTATTAATCTCTGTGGTGCTTGCATACACACATGGGCCAGAGCTCCCTTCAGCTCAGAACACTAAGTTAGAGGGCTAGAGGGAACACATCCTCCTTTGCATTAAAGTTTAGACCCCTGGGGGCACAAGCCAGCTGGCAGAGCAGACCTATGCAGGTATTTACTGACAGGAAGGACTGACAGGCTTCCAGTGATAATGACCTCCCAAGGATCCATGAATCGTACTTGCTCTGTCTAGGTTCCCTAAACTTTCCCTAGAGTAGACAGAGAGTATCCAGCTTGTCTGCTCAGGACAGTTTGTGTTTCACATGTATTATTCTCTATTTGCTTTTACTTCTACTCTCCCTCAGTGAACAACAGTTTATAGATTTATTTAATAATGAGAGGCCATAGACGCACTTCCAGAAATTCTGATCACCTCAACCTGTTGCCCACTTCTTCTCCTTAAAGAAGTAGGAGAGCATCCAGCTGGCCTCTGGAAATAAAAATAGCTCCCAATATTCAGAATGGGAGGAAGGATTGAAAGATTCAAGCGCACATGAAACATTTCCTGCTGCTAGCAACCAGAGCACAGTTCTTATTTCAAAACTAGATACAAAATAAGTTGTTCAGTTCTTTGTATGGATCCTCCTTCATACCCATCTAAATTCCTACATTTTAAGGAGAGCAAGCATTTACAAGAAATGTTTTTTGTCCCCTATTTGGAGTTTCCCCAAGATATATTTTTACAAGCAAAAAGGATTCAGTGTTTATACATAGATGTTACTCATAGCACTGCTACAGGGTAGGGCTTCAGGGCCAGTACCCTCCCCAGGAACTGAGCTCACAGGCTCCAGAACTGCCTCTGCCAGTAGACCTTGTCCTGTGTTCCCGTCTCTCTTGGCTCTGACTCAAGCTTAGTGCTATAGGATCACCTCCCTCCCTGAGAACAAATTGCAGGGAATCATATATACACCACAGTAACATGCCTGCTCATTTGTAATTATAAGGAAAAAAGGGCCAAATTATTTCCACCTATGGCCCTGCTGGTAGCCTAGTTGAGCAAGTTTTTCCTGAGCATCCTGCATCTGTAGCGGCTCCAGGGTATGCAGCCCCCCACTCTAATGCTGGGAGGCACAGACAAAGGAACTGGGGTGGTTCTCCTGTTGACCGGGGTTCCTTAGGATGGGAGCCATGCCACATTCATTCTTGTATGGTAAGGCCTCACCATCCTTGTTATGGCTGGGTTCCTGGAAAATGCAACTTCAAACACAAGAACATAAGGAAAGCAAGTGCTTCATTGAAATCCCTCAGTGCTAGCTGGGTTTTTCCCCTCATCTTCATAATAAAATAACATTATTGGAGGACCTGCTTTATCCTTAAATTTTAGAGGTCCAGAAAACTTCTGAAGATCTAAACAAATGGCTAGATTTGGGAAACCTCGTTAGTTACTAGGGAGTGTTTTTCTGTTGTTGACTTTTGGTGGCCTGGAGGTTGGAGAACCCTATTTGACTTGTTCTTTCTATCCAAGGATGGCAGCACTGCGCTCTCCATAGCCCTGGAAGCAGGACACAAGGATATCGCTGTCCTGCTGTATGCCCACGTCAACTTTGCAAAAGCCCAGTCTCCGGTCAGTGTTGTGCAGTTGGCTTTTGTGAACAGCCTAAAATCCACCAGACTGGTGGGTCCCCTTCCCTGGGGAGATGATGGGAGTTCCAGTATATTATGATTCTGAAACTGGAAAGTTTAGCCTGGGACTTAAAGGTTCATTATTTATTCCCACGCAGAAGGCTAGGGTGCTGATGGGTGGTGTAGCAGAGGCTGGGCCCCTGCTTGTCTTCGAGAATCAGGGGTTCTCATACCTCACTTGAAGCGTTTTATTGTGGGCATGGTAATCTGAATGCCAAATCCCAAGCCCAGGAATGCTATCTTCTTGTTCCTGGCATTTTCCCTAAAGCGGACAATGAACAATCTCCAGACTCTCTAACTCCTAGTGGGAAGTTGACTTCCCTCGACAGCTGGACATGACACTATTCCTGCTGGTGACCTGTGTCTTGTGTTCCTGGCTCCAACTGATGGGTGGTTGTCAGCTGCTGTAGAAGGAGTTCCTAGGTCTAGAGGACACACATCTGCCTGAGGTCACTCATTAACCCCCATTTTTTTCCTTTCCTGGTCTCTAGGGCACCCCTAGGCTTGGAAGGAAGACATCTCCTGGTCCCACTCACCGAGGTTCCTTTGATTGATTGTGTGCAAATAGCCATCCATTTACACACCACCATTAAGCTGCTAATTGTTCTGTTGGGGTGACAGATACTGAATGTATTGTGCCTGAGCTCACCGGCAAACAGAAGGCATAAAGCTGAGGGGAAAAGGTTAAAGCTTTCACAGTGGAAGCTGAGCCATCAGGAGATAGACAGCCAGGCACTTGCGGCAACTTTTCTGGCCATCTTCCCTTTGTGCAGGGCACACTTTACCCCAGTGTCTCTGTTGCTGTTGAGTCTCTGCTCCGTTATGTACAGTTGTAGGAAATCGACCTGGGCAAGCAACCTCTGTTTCTTAACCACCTCCCGTCCCCGCCCACCACCACTGCGGGAGAAGTGTCAGGTTCTCAAGGCATGGTGTTTTTAAATTTTCCCATAAGTATTTATATTTGCTAAATGTGGAACCCTTGGAAAGCTCTTTGAAAATTCCATTCCAGGATGGTTTTGTTGATTATTCTTTTTTGTCTTTATTATTTTAAAGTAAATAAATTGAGATAACTTTGGTCATCAGCGACTTGGGACTGGATTGGTAGGTTTCTGGTTTAAAAATCAAAGACGAAAGATGGGACTCTCAAAAAGTATAAAACATTAAAAAAGAAATATGTTCGGTTGGTTCTATCTAAATGGATATATTATATTACTTTATATAAATGGTATCTATAAAATTGGCACAGTATTTTCAACTTTTATATTCCATGGTAATTACAGACATGAAGAATTACATGTAACATTACCATATTTTTATTAATAATTGCACAGCTCTGTAATTAGTGATAAAGGTTGGATTGTATTAGAGGAACTGGCTTTAAATTTGCCTCTAGAAAAACATAGTGTAGTTCTTTCCATATTTATGGATTCCTTTATATCATTTACTTTGGCCTTATCTGTATTTAAATGTTTGAAGTGCCTTAGACTCTTGCCATATTTTCAAAATAAAATTTCATTAAGCTGTTTTGCCTGTCCCTACTTCATCTCTGACAGCTGTCTCCCTGATCCTATTGACTTAACAGCAGTGGCAGCAAAAGCTGACGGATGGATCACTTGGAGAGGGCGAGTGCCCGGTCTGCTGGCCTCGGGCTTCCAGTGAGAGGAGGCAGCTTCTGACAGCACTGTTCCGTTTCTACAGCTCCGCTTGCATCAGGAACCTAAAATTTAAGACCTTATTAGGCAAACAGTTCAGGTAAACTCCAACAGCAGCCGATGAGTTTACTGTTTCTTAGGCACAGAAACAGTCTGAGATTTTGGGTATATGGTGACTGGCTGAAACCTGGAAGAATGAGAAAGAGGAAATTAAGCCCATCAAAATTAATTTCAGCTTGCTTTTGGGTCAGTGGCACCTGTCTTGAAATTCTTTTTCAAAAGTAAATCATTAAAATTCGGAAGCATTGGCGAAGACACAAACTAGGTGTGTTGGCACAGTTGCTGATGTGGATTTTAACACACTCCATTTACAAGAACCAGGTGCATTATGGGAACATTTATGAGGCTTTTCTGAAACCTTTCTTGTCATCCTTCTTTCATTCATTTGTTCATTATTGAACTTAAGAAAGAGGCCAAGGAATAGATTTTTCATAGTGTGTCATCACTTGCATGGGAAGCCTGTTTCATTGTCTAGAGATTTGCAGCTTTTAGAAAGGTACTAGGAGTTGCTGTGACAAGCAGTGTTGGCAAGTCAGTCCACCTTGAGGTGGAAACACACATGCGTCCACACCACACCAGGGCCCTCGCTGCAGACCAGCTGCCCTCCTCTATGAACCATGAAAGTGAGGTCACAGCTACCTGGGATCGTGAGCCTCTCCTTCACCCCCAGGACAGAGCTGCTAGGTCTGGGACTGGGGCTAATTTCAGATCAGATAATTATTTAAGCTCAAGTTCTTTCAGGTCTGAAATAGTACAATAAATTAAAGCAGAGAAGTGTTTGTTTTTGAAGAAAAGTGACCCATGAGTTTTCAGCCCTTTAGTGGCATGATATGCGTTTTTGAGCAAGGACAGCTGTTTCTCAGGTGGCTTGTGTTCCTGGGAATTTTCTTTGTTCCATTTTAAAAAGGGAGGCACTAACATTGTCTGTTAGTGCGTGAGAAAACAATCCCATATCTGTGTGCTGCATGTCAGATATCTTGTGCTAAATTTGGACAAAGAAAACAAGCACTTACTGTGTCATGGTCTCTAACTTCTAGGTAACTAACCTGGCTTGTGCCTTGTTTGTTCTGCTAACACTGGACACTTAAAATGCTTTTTATCTTGGGATCTTGGCACACTATATAAAGCAGTCTGGGTCTCCCCAATGACACAGCTGTGATTTATTGAGGCACAAGTCCATAAAGGGATTTGTGGTAGGAGGCTTGGGTTAGTCCTCCAAGTGAGGCCAGCAAAGAATAGAAGGCTAAACTTTTTCTAGATACTCTTGCCCTGGAAATTTAGGGGCTAGAGACCAGAGAACTCCCCAAGATAAAAGGAATGGAGCCCTGACAACTTTGAGATTTGCATGTTAAGAGAGTAAAAATGACCACTTGTCCTAATAACATTAAGATGAAATGGACTAAACCCATTAGTTACCACAGGGAAGTAGCCTTGCTTCTGGAGAAATCTCCAAGGAATATGCTATCTAGTGCTGGTTCCAAAAATAAATGAAGTGTTAAACTTTTACCTGTAAGCTATTGATGCTCTAATGACAACAGTTTTATCCTGGACTTCCATCACACTGCAGCTACATGATAATGCTTGGAAATAGAATCAGGTAAGAAAACTGCTGATTTTCCCTCAAAGTAAACAATGATCACATTAACCATAAACCAACTTTCAGTTCAAATGTGTCCTTTTGGTGGGGAACTATGCTACAGGTGGTAATATTTTTACTTGAGGCATACTTTTGTAAATGCTTTCCCCTTGGCAGCATGCAATAAGATGTGCCAGTGACCATGCTGATGGGCCCACCCTGAGAACCAAATACTTCAGGTCTGTGACTCTGCCATCATAACAAGCATCTCAGGTGTTTTCCAATGTGACTATAATTTATTACCCCCAAATTATGAGATGCTGCCTCACACATTCTTTTCCAAACATCCTAGGTGGTATAGGGAGCGCTATAACAAAACAAAAACATTACAGTTAGCATAGGAACTATTCCAGTATATAACACAGCCTTTGTGTGGTATCTGCCCATGTTCAGTGGCATCTCTGCATCTCCTGGAGTTATCATTTCTAGAAGATCAGAGACCATGGCTGCCACAGATCCCTGGGAGTTAGGAGTAGGGAGGCTCAGTACATGAGTAAATGTGATTAGCAGACAGACAACTCTTGAAATATTTTACTAACCTAATCTTTTCCATCCCCACTTCCTCATGAAGCAGAACTGTAACTGCCCAGGAAGAAGGCCGTGACCTGTTGCCTTGGCTTTGGAATAAAGACTGTTTTCTGTTTTCTTTTTTACTGAAAGCACAATTCTTTTTAAGCCCTGGGCCTCAGCCAGAGACTACTTTCTGCCACAAGGAAATTAGTAATCATATGTTTGCTCTGTTTTTATTCTGCATGGCTGTAATTTAGAAGCCAACTGATTATAAAAATATAGTTGAAGTACATTTTGTTGAAGGTGATTGCCCTCAAAAGGATGTGGCTGCAGTGCTGGCTGGGGCGCCCAGGCTGCACATACTGGCACTCCCCCAACAAAGTCACTGGCTTCTTTCTGGGGCAGGGGGAGGGTTGTATTGTGAAGTCACAATCAGCTCTTTACATATAAAAGATGGAGTTCACTAGAACTTATGATAATGTCCTTAAGGCACTGACCTGAATCCTGATTTTGCAGAGAGACTAGAAAGCAAAAGAGCATGTTATATGAATGCCTTATCAGAAATGTATGATTTGAGGGCACTTAGGGACAGAACTGGCATTTCAGGAAACCAGCTACCCACTGACTCTCCATTAAGAACCTTGATGATTTAATAGGCAAGAGTAGAGGAAGTCTATTCCTAATTTTCCAAAAATTGAAATTGCGTATTCCTAAAACCAAATGCACATCTTTTATTTGAACCATTCCCAACCCAGGAAGACACAGCTTGATCAATTCTGAGAACCATGTGAAATGGTGTGGCTGAATGATGCAGAGGAAGACAAAATACCTGTACACAGTTGAGCTAGTGCTCCTTTGCTGCCAGTGATATCAGGCACCTCAGCATCAGGTACAGGTTGGCAGCAGGCAATCAAGTGCCAGCTAACACAGGCCACTCTCTTGTCCTGTGTGAGGCAGCAAAGAAATACTGGCTATCATTTCATCTGCTCTGTTATAAAATTTTGAATGTGCTTCAATAACCAGACCATAAAGACAATATAAATTAATTAGGTTAAGGGTTCAGAGAGTTCACCCTCCACCTTGTTAAAATACACCTCACCCCCACCAAAAACCAGTCTTCTGACAGGAAGTTCAGTAAGATCAGCTTTCAGCTTTCATACTTGGGTTTATATAACACCACCTGCCAGAACTGAGAACTTTCCAGTGCCTCGCTGACAAAGATTATTGGAATGAATGAGTGTGAAAAAATAACTGAAGTCTGGTTTTGGAAGCCAGGAAAGTGTTATCATTTGGGAAGTGGGAGCAGATGACTGGGAGGGAAGAAGCAGGAAGGGGACTGGAGAGCTCTTGGTTATCAGAAATAGTAGCTGTATGAGGTAGCTATGGTGTTGTATTTATTTAGTGGTAATTCATCAGGGGTTATACTCACAATTTGTACTTTTCTGTGTATAAACTTTGGTTTTTAATTTTAAAAAAATGAAAATGTTTGCTCAAAAAAGATCAGGTGGGGATACACCTGGTAGATTGAAGTTCGATGGGAGCTAAGAGCTAGTGATATACAACTGGGAGTCCATTTCTTCAATGTGGATACGCAGCTTTGCCCACCAGGGGAGTTATATGCCCTTTCATATCTTTAGAAAGCAGTCACTAGGGCTGTTCTCAGATACAACAGTTGTTTGCTTTTTCATTTCTGCCCCTTCTTTTGAAGTTAGGCTTGAATGGGACTAGCTTTGACAATAAAACATCACTGAAAGTGATGTGTCTGTTCCAGCTGGGTGCTCTGAAGTCAGTGTGCGGGTCCGTCCTCTTTCCTTGTCATGTGGTTGATCATAGAAACATGTTGAGTTGGACTTTCAGTCAACGTGGGTCCTCAAGTAGAATTTTCTTGCCAACCTGTGCCACCAGGTGGGCAGTGAGCAACGAACAACCTTTATTATGTTAAGTTAGGGAACTCTGATTGTGATTTGTTTCCACATCATAAGCTGATTTTCTGTATTGATGTAGAAATTAATTCCAGGAAGTGGGTGCTGCTTCAGAGGTAATAATGTGGTTAGAAAAGACATTGGTGTTAGAGGCTCAGTCACAGAACACAGGAAACTATTTGAATGACTGTTCTTCGTTTTCCCGAAGATTGGACATTCTAGAAGCACAGGAGAGAAAGTAACCTGTTATTAGATGCCTTAAATATGAACAACTAAATCTCATTAGAAAAGAAAGCCATGGCCTATGTGCCTTGGAAAAGATTTTATGTTATAAGCATGAAGCTCCCAAATGTGAGTGTGGATCAGAATCTTCAGGAACCTTCATGAGAACACAGCTTGCTGGGCTCCTCCCTTGAGTGTCTGATTCAGTGGATCTAGGAAGAGGCTCAAGAACTGGAATTTCGAGCCAGTTCCCAGGTGGTATTAATGCTTCTGGTTTGGAATTCATACTCATAACTGCTGCTCAGGAAGGAGTATTATGAGTAGCCTTTTCCCTTGTCACAGATGTATCTGCTGGATAGGACTCCTAAGTGTCTACATTCTTTAATCTTTGTGGGTTTTGGTTTATTTGTTTATAGTTTCCAGTGACTAAACTTTACAGTTAGCCTACTCCCTATGGAGCTTTTTCTCCCAGTTTAAAAATTTGAGCTTTGCCAAGATGTCACTGTCAAATAGAAAATCCTTGTCTCTACAGCTGATGTAAAATACTGAGTATTTAT